GGGGGGGGAAATACTAGAGTTTAGGATTAGAGGTTTGTTGATTCTGGGGCTAAGCAGTATTACTGTTTGTAAATTTTATTTATAATTTATTTTTATGAAAACGAAAAGGGAATTTTTATGCTCAGCACTGACTTTTGAAAAACACTGTAATATTTTTTTACTTAATTATTCAAACTGCAGCAAACTATTTTAAAAATCACCAGAATACTGTGGACGTTTTTAAACTACCTTTTCAAAAGAAGCACTTTGGATGTACTTTCTGTGGACGGAACGTTTTCTGTGAAAGACCAAACCTACTTCTAGCCAGTGAGCTTTTCCACAACTGACATAAAAATGCTGTTTTTTCCCCCCCGCTCAGCCCTAAATGTTTACTTAGAAATATATCATGCAGCAATCTTTGTTCACTGTTTTGTTTTTAAAATGACCACTAGTATAAGAGACACTGCATGTTGCAGCTAAGATCTTCTGATTTAGCATTTAGGCTATCAGTACCAGGTTAACTTTGATCTAATATTTATTTTTAAACACCTTTTGACTGTAAATTTTAAATAATTCCTTCTATTGCCTCAGAATTCAATTTTGAAGAAAAGAAGCCAAACCATATCGTTCAAAGGAAATTGCACGTACAGTTCAAGGTGCAAAGAACAGCCTCTTTGACTCTCCAGGAAGCGATGGAGATCTTAGCAAAGGGGCACTGAGTTCCATTCCCTCCAGCAGAGCCCTCCTCTTCGTCCAAGGCCTTCGGGGGGGGGGGGTGTTTGCAGCTCACACAACAGCCTTCCCCAGGGGCCCAAAAGCCCCACTGATGCACCCATGGAGAGCCTTGCCCACAACAAGTGTTACAGGATAGTTCGGCTACAGCCCTCTCTGGCATTTTGGCAGAGATCAGGAACTGCCTATGTCCCATTTTTTCCTCTGGGGAAGGGTCCTGCTGACTTCTTAAAAGGTTAGGATTCACTTGCATTTACAGAGATTTACTTAGGCACCCCTCCCCTTCCCCCCCCCTGAGGCCAATATGCACAGAGGCAGGGCTGGCTCAAGGGGAGAGGGTCCCGGTGGGTCAGTTGGTCTGACAGCGCCACCTCCCGCCAATGCCAAGATGTGCATTCTTAGAGCAGCCTTTGTTTTGGGAAGAAGGGCTGGTGCCTGGTGGTGCACCCCAAGCCCGGGTGCCCCCTCTTCCCCTCCAGTGCCCAAAGCCCTGAGGGGACCGTCTGTAGCTTGGATCATTTGGAAGAAAGCTGTTGTAATATAACTCCTTGTGTAGGTGTGGGTCACCCATGGCCCAGTGCATAATAGGGCATGCGCAGTTTGGGTGGGACTCCTACCACATGACCCACACGGGCTCTTCTCGGGAACCCCTGCGGTGGTTGTTGTTTTAAGCGTAGACAAGGCTACTTACAGACATTGGCTAGAGGTCGGAAGAGGCTAGAAAAGCAAAACGCAGGAGGGAATGGAAATGGCTTCCGAAAAACTTTCCCCTTCAAAATGTACTTTTCAGTTCTGATGAATTGATGTGCTGATCATCCCATGATTTACCACTGTCAGCTTTGTATGGAAACGAAGGGCAATAAAGACGTGTTACTGATAGAGACCACGGCGGCATCCACAGCGGCAAATCAGATCTAGAGAGCAATTTTGCATCTTTCCGGGGAGTGGGGTTGGGGGGGTGGGGAGGAGAACGAAGAAATACAATTGGGATCGTTAAGAAAACCAAGACTCCTTTAATGAATCTCCAACTCACAAAAGATAAAACAAACCTCGAAGCCTGTATCAAAAGTCAAAGAGTTGCTCTTATTTTTAAAAAAACAAGGGCTATTTTGGAGTGGCCTTTGGGGGGCCTGAGATTTCCCTGAGATCTATTAACAGCTCTCCCGAGGAGAAGAAAGCAAGATTCTGTTAGGTGGTTCTTCTTCTGTCCCTGGAAAAAGGAGTTTTATCACCCTCTTTTCTTTTAGGGGGGGGGGGGAAACCCCGTCCCATACCAGACCCACTCGAGCATTAATGCCAGAGGTAGAGAGACAATCCCACTCCCAGGAAGGATTAGGAAACCTGCCAAGGACTCCGGCCTTCCAAGATATGCCGGACAATGTAAATTACCTTCAGTTGTCACCTCCTTTGTCCCAGGTCTGCTTTAGAAAAGACTCTCTGTGTGTGTGTGTGTGCGTGTGTGTGTGAGTAACCCCCTGCTTGCTCTCGTCTCCTGCAGGTATATCATCACTGACATCATTGGGAAAGAGGAAGGCTTCGGGGTGGAGAACCTAAGAGCGTCGGGCACCATCGCTGGGGAGTCCTCTCTCGCCTATGACCAAATTGTCACCATCAG